CAAACTTGTAAAGCCACTTCGGAAATCAGTATGGTGGTTTCTCATGAAAATGGGAATCAGCCTACCACAAGATCCAGCAATTCTTATGATGTTTGTCCATTTCCTTTAGATTTTACAACTTAATGTTCTATAGGTTTTTAGAGTATTCTGTATACTAGTCTGAATTTATTTGGTGCCTATTGTAATTATTTCCTGTTCTTTTCTGATTCTGCTCATTTAGGTCACCTCTTTATTTCCTTTGGTTAGTTGGGTCAAGAATCTGTCTATCTTGCTTATCTTCTCAAAAAATAAAAAATTAAAAAAAAGATCCAGAAATTCCACTCTTAGGTATATACCCAAAGGATGAAAACTCATACCACAAAGACATCTGTTCAGCTATGTTCATAGCAGCATTATTTGTAATGGCCAGAACCTGGAAACAACCTATAAGGCCCTCCACTGAAGAATGGATGAAGAAAATGTGGTACATCTACACTATGGAGTACTACTCACCAGAAAAACACAATGAAACATTAAAATTTAAAGGCAAATGGATGGAAGTAGACAAAACCATCCTGAGTGAGGTAACCCAGACACAGAAAGAAAAGCATGGTATTTACTCTCTCATAAGTGGATATTAGACATAGAGCAAAGGAAAGTCTAGAACATTAGAGAAGCTAGGAAACATGGAAGACCCTAAGAGAGACTTATATGGACTCCAGCAATGGAGAAAGGGACAAGATCTCCTGAGTAAATTGAGAGCATCGGGGAGCGGAGTGAGGTAGAAGAAAAAGGAGAGGAGAAGGGGAGTGGGAAGACAACATGAGGGATCAAGAAAGTCAAGGTAGAGAAGGAGCATAGGAGAGCAAGAAAATAAATACCTAAATAGAGGTAGCCATCACAGGCTTTACGAGAAATCTGGCACTAGAGAAATCTCCAGGGATCCACAAGGATGATCCCAACTAAGAATCTAAGTAATGGTGGAGAGGCTACTTTAAATGCCCTTCCCATATAATGAGATTGATGACTACCTTAAATGCCACCATAGAGCCTTCATCTAGTAGCTGATGGAAGGAGAAACAGAGATTCCCAGCTAAACCCTGAGACAATGGAATCCATTTTAGAGAGGGAGGAGTGATAAGCAAACAGGTTAAGACCATGCGAGGGAGACCCACAGAGACAGTTGACCTGAGCAAGTGCGAGCTCACAGATCCCAGTCTGACAACTGGAGAACCTAAATAAGACCAAACCATGTCTCCTGCAGTTGTTGGGACTGGGCAGTCTACAGGGCCTATGGCAGTGGGATGAGTATTTATTCCTAGGGCATGAATAAGATTTGGGATCCCATTCCTTATGGACAGATACTCTCTCAGCCTAGATACTTGGAGGAGTCCCTAGCTCCTGGCCCAAATGAAGTGACTTACTTTGATGATCCCCCATGGGAGGCATTACCATCCCTGGAGAGTGGATGGGGAGACATAGCCTGGGGGCGCTGGTGGGGGAAATGGGAGGACAAGACTGAGAGGTAACAGAGATTGGTGTGTAAAATAAGATTGTTTTTAATTTAAACAAAAATTAATTTACACAATAAACAAAATAAAAAACCTAATACATGCCTGAATGAATATTCTAACAGGTGGAATGTTTATGGAGTAAACAGAACAAATCCAAAAGTGGAAACACTACAGAAAAACAGAATTTCGCACCTTTAGGAGGCCACAGTAGCTCTGAGAGACGTGTCAACCTCCAAAACTATCACCAAGTTGAGTCTAGGATTGTATTTCAGTAGGCAGTCTTTCTGAGCCAAGCACAACAGCCCGGATTCCACCACCTCAACTATGCAGGTGTTAAGTGATCCTGTGTATGAGATGTCACATTTCTCCATCATGTGGTAACCCTGAGATTTGCCAAACATATGTTCCCCGTGTCATACTTGGCTCCTGCAGGGACCTGGATGGATGGATGCTTTTGAGCAAGCACAAAACTACTTGGCCAACCAAAGTGTTAGTATAGGTGGTTTCATGTCATGAAACCAAAAGGAACTGAGGGGTCTGTCTCTGGTCCCGTGTGATTACACATTTGTTGCCATGAAGGAATAAAAGTTACTCACAGGTAACATTTATGTAGACTGGGTCACATTATGTTAAACTCACTGAGTCTCAAGTTACACACCTATGGCATTCTCTGCCAGTCCTAATGAAACTGAGAAAAGTGATAGTCTGTTGATCCTTGACAGCTTCACTCTGATACCTTACGAGAGACTCTGACCATTTATACATCACAGAGTAGGTTATATACTGAGAATAAGGTTCACATGTTAATGTTACCTAGCCCTTGACCGCCACTGAGTGGAGTAATTTCTTATGGTTGTATATAGCAAGGCTGTACAGACACCAGAGAAGATGTGGCTCTGTTTGGGACCTCTGACACTTATGAGGGTCTAATTTGAGTAGTGTTGGCCTCTCACCACCTCCTTGCTGACCAAAGTATGAAGTAAGGTGAATCAGATGGATGGTATCCAAGTGCTCAGAGATGGTGGGGCCTCCTGCGCTAAGAGGAAGAAGTACAGATTGTTACATGTGAGCTGAGATAAAGAACTTAATGGTAAACAGACCTAGGATGGCCGTGTAGCCCAGAGTGCTGTGTCCCTCCAAATGCACTGACCACCACAGCTCAGCCTGGGCCAGTGCCCTCCAAAACTTTGCTGTCTAAGGCTGTCCTAAAGATAGGTGGTGATGAGAATTCCCTGTTGCTTCCCTGAGTTTTCTGACAACCTGTCCTCAGGACTTGATGTCTGAACAGAAACCTCACCAGGATGCTAGAAGCAGGCCTGCTTCCAACTCAGTGGTCCAGCTGGACCACAAAATGGGCAGTTCTTCTTAGGTAGTTCATGACTGACATGAGCCACTGGTTACCAAAGGATGAAGCATGAATCTAGGCATGACCTAGGAATGTATCAGGGGCCTAGAATACCAGCCTCAATTACAACTCAGGGTTCATAGAGAGTGCTATGACGAGCATGGGGACTAGAAAACTCTGAGAGTGAAATAAATAATCCACTATGTGCTTTTCCACATCCGTTTCTTTATTGTTCTGCCAACCTGCAAAGTTTTCTGCATGTATACATACATACATACATACATACATACATACATACATACAAACACACACACACACACACACACTCAGCAATTCTCTGGCAATAGGAGCAATAGGACTTGCATTTCTTAGGGTCATAAAAACAGATAGGTGCTACACAGAGGGGATAACTCTCAGCCTCCTTTGTGGCTCAGCGTGGACATGACTTGTGAGATGCCCAGGCATTTTTAAGAGGCAAAGGGGTAAATTGAGGAGGGGATTGTAATTTCTAAGAAGTGAGAGGGGGAGTTCATGTGTTAAACTACATTCCTAAGTGTGGCTGGTAAAGATAGATGTTTGTAATCTGTGAACATATAAAAGGGGTGATGAGTGCGGCAATGCTGTGCTGCACTCTGTTTTGCATTTCAGGCAGCGGGGAACAGTGTCATTATAGACATGGCAATCTGCATAAGCTGCAGAAGAAAAACGTTTTTAAAAGAGTAACATTATTGCTATTATAAGTGAAATTCGATACCTTACAGTTCAATTTCAGAATTCTATGACTTTCGTGATTACTCAATACTTGTTTGCTAACTGTTGAGTGACCCAGATAAAACAGACACCTTCCAAGAAACCCAGCACATACAGAGATAGAAGTATGAAGAAACACAAAACCAATGAGACTTGACAAAATGAAAACTCTTTTTGTTTTATTTCTCAAGACAGTGTTTCTCCATATAAACTTGGCCACTCTGGGACTCCCTTTGTAGTCCTGACTGGCCTCAGCTTCACAGAGATTTACCTGTTTCTGCCTCCCGAGTGGTGCCTAATTAAAGGTGAATGCCATCTCCACCCACATAAAATGAACAGTTGTTAAGGATAAAAAGAGGCAAACTAGGAGTAGAATACTATTCCAGTGCAGTGTAGGCACACATGGAAACACAGAGACAACTGAATTCAGTGGGGACACTGAAAATTCTGTCTAAGACCTGGATCAGCACAAGGATGCTGCTGTGGCCGCGTGTGTTCAACAAATGTGAGAGACGACCCTCCCCCTGACCATCTACAGCACTACAAGAAACAGGACCTGAAGCTCACCTAGACAGCACAGAAAAGAAGCCTGGTGGTTAAAACTGATGGAGAACTAGCCTCGATATTATGAATCAGTAAAGGCATTTGACAAAGTGAATAGTTTTTAATTTTGAAAGCAGCCAAACTGGGTGAGAAGATAGGCCAGTGCATTAGGCATACATGTGGAAACCCAGCCAACTCAGTGCTGAGTGGGGATGCTGACAGCTTTCCCTCTAGATCCAGGATAGACAAAGGATGCTGCTGTGGACACTGCTGTGCAGTATTCCCTAGACAGAGCAATTAGGAAAGACAAAGAAATGAAAGGTGGCCAGTCAGCAGTAAAATGTGTCTGCAGATGACAAAGCTTATCTGTAGAAAATCCTAAAAATTCTACTGAAATTTCTGAAACTGGTGAGCAAACAAACCCACCTGAGCTGTACTTCTGTAAATGAATAATGACCACAAACAATTGGATGCCCTCTTTTGTTACATGCATAGACAAAGAAATAGATGGGTTGGACAGGACTGGAGGGAATGGACTGGATTAAAAAAGATTTGAAAGTAGACAATGCTGATGGCCACATGATAAGATAAATGTGTTCAGGTCCACTTATTTTCCCACTTCAAAATGGCCAAATGGGAAATCCCATGTATGTCTCAAAAAATGTTAACAAGAAAAGTAATCTTGTGGGATATCACCCTATGAGTGCCAATCTCTGGATAGAAACAGTGCATGTCAGCCTTTTGCCATATTTTTTACATGTGTGCCTCAAACAGAGCATCCATACTGTTTAGTAAACAGTTATGTGTACAAAGAAACAGAGCAGTCTCTTTTCCTGTCACTCTTTCTTACGTCATATGTATGACTGGTGCCTAGGCAGAATTGGGTTTATATGATTCAATTAAAAGTGCAATATATCTGAGCATATGAGAGGATGCCTTTATCTCCATGCAAACACTGCCCCATACTAACAGGGGAGTCAGAACATCCAGAATTTGGGGGGCTCACGAAATTGGCTTCCATGAATTCTGAGAACTATCTATATGTTGGATCCACAACCTAAGCTCTGAAATCTTGCAATTATGTTCACTGTATTAATTTCTTCTTTTCCCTTTAGAAAGCCTATCCTGGTGCACACATTTATCCCAGGATTACAGTCATGAGTCACCATGCTGGCTGTACCTGATTGGTGACCGATCATTTTCACCTCATAACTTTTCTTGTTGCTGTACCAGATCAATAAAGAAATGCCCCAAATCTGTAGGATGAGAGGAGAGAGGTCACGCATTCTTCATGACCAAGTTGAGTGGGAGACTGGTCTTTGAACTGACTGGGTTGGACACCACACATTGATACTCTCCAACATCCTCACTCCTGAAAGGATCGATGAAGAGTTGGCACTTTGTTGGGGACAGTGTCATCCTCTCTGTAAGCTGCAGACTGTGATTATTGAAAATCCAATGGAAGGAGACTCCAGTATCACCTGAGAGGCAGGTGAGGACCACAGAGCTCTGTTCTGGAACTGAGGTGCTGATGACTCGGAGAATCGGCTGTGTCACAGGCTCTGTAAAGCAAAAGAGGGAGTGGAAATGACAATAACCCTTCAGACGTATCCATCACTCCCTCTGTAGTCAATGGACACTCAATAAACCCTCCAGGGTAGAGAATTCGAGGCTATGACAATACACAGATTTCTTGTGGCTTAGAGCTGTCACCCATGGCCTGTGTGGCCCTGGTTTATTCTCTGTGTATCCTGGTCCCTACTTCCCTTCACAAGTGCACACAGTGCATGATTTTTGTCAGGTCCCAAAGCTAAGCTTAGATGTGAGCAATGGTCTGATCTTTGGATGGGGAGCTACCCAAATCAGCAGCATCTTTTACCATTTAGCTAAAGGAGAGTATTCATTAGGCTGAACCCTAAGGACAAAGAATACCCTGAAGACCTGTCTCCTCTGTCCCTCCCCTTGGGCAGCCTGGACTTCCTCTGAAGTTTCCTAAGCCCATAAGAGGAGTTGGCTTATTCCTGGCAACTGTCCACTGAGATTCAGATGTAGAAGATGCCCCAATGACCTTGCTAACTGCAGCCATCATGGCAGTACACAGTTGTTTCCACACTCTGTGGGTCTTGAACAGTTGGTTAAAGCCTTGTTCCGAGTCAGCTCTGACACAAAGTCAAATTCTAGCCCTGGACACAAGTTCTCCAGGGTAAACAGAGTTGAGTCTGGAACAGAGGTCTGGATCTAGAGCTGCCTGATGCTCATCTCACCATGGTGAAACCATAGTTTCCATGATAGACCATTCCTGATTCCCATGACATCTTGCTCAAGGCCATATTCATGATGAGCACCTCAAATATTCTGGGGCAGACTGACATCCTTGGGCTGAATTACTCAGCACACAGCCTCCTCTATAGGTGGAGTCAGGTGAGGGACTATGGTCTTTTTTAGTATGTCTACCCAATGTGTGTCCTGTACTAAGTACTCAAACCCATATGTGGAGACATAGTATAGAGGAGACGCAATCAATCCCACACAGTCAATCCTGTGTGTGCAAAATGAAATGACCCCCACGAGAGCCCAGAGGTCACAAAGAATCACTTACTATATATGTGGAGGTACACATGTGCCTCTTGAACTTCAAACTTTGTATTTACGGTTTGTAGGACGTATAATCCAGTGTCCTCCTGGGTGGTGTTGTGGAACAGCAGGGATATGTTGGGGTACACGGTCACTTTATTCTTGTAAGCGGGTGCCAGCCAACTTTTCTTAGCAATTACCTTCGATGCAATTTTAAGTCTGTTGACAATGTCTATCTCTTTGGACCAGGAAAAAGCTCGAAGTTTCTCTGGAATATTGTGAGCCAGCAGGAGAGCATTTTCCCCTTCAACAACATTGAGTGGCTCTGATTCAATAGAGAGCTTAGCAGCACTGGGAGGAAGCCTGCAGGCTAAAAGGAAGGGTAAAAGGAAAGAGAGACAAATGCATCAATACTGAGACCTTTGGTGAACAACTGGAGCTTGATTATTGTGAAACTTGTATAACCACTCAGATGAGGTGGGTGGGAATGTCTGTCAAATTCAGGGGGAGAAAGTAGCAAATGACCCCCCTGACCTCTGTGCACCTGACTGTGTCACTTCCTGTGGAGATCTGTCTCCTGGTGAGGAAGTCCTGTGTATATGTAAATAAAGCACTGTTGGCCAATAGGGAAGCAACATAGGTGGGAGTAGGAGTCTAGGAGAATTCTAGGAAATGTAGTGAAGGGAGTCATCACCATGTGATTCCTGGGAAGAGGGGACACATGTCTGGATTCTCGGTAAGATAAAACCTTATAAATATGTATGTATGTATTAGTAATTATGAGTCAATAATTAAGTTAGAGCTAGCCAATGAGTAACAAAAGCAAATGATCAACAGCTTCAAAATTAATTTAGTGTCTTGTGTGTTATTTGCGGGCTGAAGGCAGCAACAGGAACCAGGCAACAGGCAGGAAGAGTACATCTTACAGTCTCCTCATGTGTTTACACACTCAATGTTCTCACATGCCTGCTCACACTCAGAAAAGGTGGAGGTGAGGTGCCTTCCCTCACTTCTTCCTCTACAGATCCCCAGTCTTCACATTGTGATCTTCTTGATCTCTTATCTCTCTGTATGCAGTCAACCCATGACTTCACTCTGAGATGGCTTCCTAGTCTGTCTTCCAGTCCTCTAAAGCTGGGGTCTCATTAGAAAAACTAGGTTGATCTTTCAGGAAGGCCTGACACATGGACAGGCTAAGATACATGTGGGTGGATGAAAGAACAAATGTTCTTGGATTTTCATGTCCAGGTATTTATGAAATTCTCCTGTGTGGAGCTACTGACACCGGTCACAGATCCAGCTTACATTAACTCATGCATGTGTGTGGAGTGGGTGTGTGGGTGTTGGTGGATACGAACATGTTTGGGAATGAGCATGTGTTTGCCATCCTGTGTGGATGTCTGAATGCAGGAAACAGCACCCAGATTGAAGCCCTTCCTATCCTTCTACTCCAGAAGACTCCAGGCAGGCTCTGAGATCCCTTTCCCCCTCAACTATCAGACAGTGTTCTCCTCTCCAGTGAACAGGAAACACTACCAGGGGCTGCACTGTTTGCAGAGAAGTGCACAGCGGGCCTCCACAGGGCCTGCCATGTGTTCTGCCTCCCTCTGTGGAGAACAGCTTTTCCTCCAGCACTTCCTCAATCTGTACAGATTTCCACTCTCTGAGTTCTGCACTTGAGAGGCAGGAGCACTTCTGAGGTTAATGTGAATGTTGTCAGGAATGGGGTCCAAGGGCATTCTCTGTCCTTACAACTCTTAGTCCTAGCTGGTATCCCAGTCAGGTTCTCTATCTATTTTTCAGTCCTGCACATCATGCAATGAGGAACAAGTAAGTTCCCTGTGGTCACCCTTTCTTTCCCTATGCTAGAAGGAAGGAGACTGAACATGGTCCATGAGCATAGTACTCTTCTCAGACAAATGAAGCACCAGTAGGTCAGATTAATCTGTGGGAGGGACAGAAATGGAAATCACATATGATTCTTTCATCTTCTCCAGGAAACCAGCAACTCAGGGTTTGACTGTGAGGAAATCACCCCCCTGGGGATCAAAAGGCTGAGTGTAACTCCTGTCTGGGAGATGTAAAGACCATCAGAGCTTGTTTCTATTTGTTTTCATGAGGGAATTCCCTAGGGTGGACCCCACAGGACAAGTACATACCAAGTGGACATATGTCCTCTGTTCTTTACCTTGGGGAACATGATCTTCCTGTGAATTGTCACAAGTCCATCAGAGGACTTGGCAGATAGCCTGGGCAACTGTCTAGCTCTGCCCTCCATGCTGAATCTCAGAAGGAGGTACCCAGGTGACCTAGCTTGAATGTGGCTCTCAGAAAAGTACATGATATGAAATAAGAACACCAAAAAAAAACTGTTGTTCCCTCTCAGCTCCATAAGGAAGTAAAAGTCCAAACCTGGAAAAATACTCTCCAAGACCACTTGCAATCAAGGCTGGGAGAGAGGTCTGGAGCCAGGGATTCCTGGTGCTAACCTCTCTCTGAAGAATCCAAGATATGCCGGATGACAATAGGGTCATTCTCAGTACCATGTTCATGGTGATAACAAAAAAGACAAGACAGAGTCTAATTCACTTGAACTGACTTACCCTTTCCCATCACACACACACACACACACACACACACACACACACACTGAGACGCACACACTTCAGTAAAGGCAAGAGTCTGATCTATAGCTATTTGGCTCTAGAATGTGTGTCCTGTACTAAGTGCTCAAACACCATCATGGGACACAGTACCGAATAAAGGTATTCAAAGTTGAGATGGGTGAGTTCTATGTGTACATACAATCCAGGAATGAATCATCACAAGAATCACTTACTGTCAAACTGGAGTTTCACATGTACTAGTTCAGTTTTCTGATCTGTATTCAGAGTGCGTAGGGTGTAGAATCCGGTGTCATTACAGGTGATGTTCTGGAGCAGCAGGGATCCATTACTGTACACTATCTCTCTACCACTGTGACCAAGGCCAAATACAGTTGTACTGCTGGCTACATGGTGCCAGGCAACCTCACTGTTCTTGGACACAATAGCTCCTTTGTACCATAAAAAGGCTTCAAGATTCTCTGGAATACTGTGAGCCACTAGAAGAACACTTGCTCCTTCTTCAGTGCTGTGCATTACTGGTTCAATAGTGGGCTGGGCACAGGTGGATGGGCACTCACAATGAGAAGCTAGAAGGGAAGACAGAGATCGGTCAGTAGTTGGACCTTTGTGTTTGACTAAGGTGAAGACCTGTGTCCTGAGCAGGCATGTTCATATCTTAGCTTGGGTGCTTGAGTGGGTGTCTTCCTGTCATTTACTAAGTTCCATGTCCTACGTGTACCTGGACTTGTGATTCTGTGTGTATGCTGCTCTCTCCTCAGACATCAATATGACCCCGGTTCACCACCCTCAGACTCCTGCTCACATTCAGTGTAGATTGGTGTTGGGGAGATGACTTCCTAGCTCCTTTCACTCTAGACCATAACACCCTGACTGGATGACATTGTGTTGTTTATGATCTTTCCTCTTGTGATTCCAGTCAACACCTGACTTCACCTTCAAGCTTTCTTTACCTTTAGTACACTGGGACTATGGAATTGTGAGAACCTGGATTTGTCCTATAATTTTTGAAGAAATGATGCCTGGAAAATGTGGTGATGTCTGGCTTAAACATATAAAGCTTGTCTGAAGATCAGAGATTGGAGCTTGCCCCTCTTTAATCATAGAGGTCAAGATGTCTTGTACAGATAGACAGGAAGTGAGATGTCTGGTCAGAAACAGGAAGTGAGATGGCTAGGCAGAGACAGGAAGTGAGATGCCTGGGTGGACAAAGTATATACGTGGAAAGAAATAGGAGCATGCTTTTTTTCCCACTTGGAAGCTAGTGAGGAAAAAGTAACTTTGGCCTGCTCCTTCTTCTCTATGATCTCGCAGCAATTTCCTCTATGTTTGACACCTGGTTTTATTATTTAGACTAATTAAGAATGCCATTTACCAGTCTAATCAAAAGCAATCTACAGATTCAAGCTGGTGTAGCAATCCAAATATCTAAAAAATTAGACTTCAAACAAAACTTAATCAAAAGAGATGAATTTTAAAAAGGGGGAAAAAAATAAAGAGAAGCAGTCATCAAAACTCTCCCAAGGAAAAAAGAAAACAACAGGGCCAGATGGTTTCAGTGCAGAACTCTACCAGCAATTCAAAGAAGATCTAATTCCACTACTCCTCAAAGTGTTCCACAAAGTAGAAGCAGAAGGACCATTGCCAAAATCTTTTATGAGGCTACAATTACCTTGATACCTAAACTACAAAACAGACATAAGAAAGAGAATACAGACCAATCTTCCTCATGAACATTAATGCAATAATACTCAATAAATACTAGCAAATCGAATCCAAGAACACATCAGAAAAATCATCCACCATGACAAAGTAGGCTTCATTCCAGGGATGCAGGGATGATTCGACATACAAAAATCCATCAATTTAACCCACCATACAAACAAACTGAAAGACAAATATCCCCTTGATTTTCTCATTAGATGCTGAAGAAACCTTTGACAAAATCCAACACCCATTAATAATATAGGAATTAGAGAGATCAGGGATAACAGCGACATACCTAAACATCACAAAAACCATATATACCAAAACAACAGCCAACATCAAACTAAATGGATAGAAACTCAATGTGATTACTCTAAAATCAAGAACAAGACAAGGATGTCCACTCTCTCCATATCTCTTTAGTATTGTACTTGAAGTTCTAGCTAGAGCAATAAGACACCAAAAACAGGTAAAGGTGATAAAAATTGGAAAGGAAGAATTCCAACATTAATTATTAGCAGATGATATGATAAAGTTCCATAAGTCACCCAAAAAATTCTACGAAGGAACTCTTACATGTGATAAACACCTTCAGCAATGTAGCAGGATACAAGACTATCTCTAAATCAGCATTATTATATACAGATGATAAATGGACTAAGAAAGAAATAAGAGAAACAACACCCTTTACAACAACAACAAACACCATAAAATATCTTGGTGTGATGCTAATCAAACAAGGGAAAGACCTGTATAATAATAACTTTGAGTCTTTAAAGAAAGAAATTAAAGAAAATACCAGAAAATGGAAAGATCTTCCATGTTCTTAGATAGGTAGGATCAACATAGTAAAAATGGCAATCTTGCCAAAAGCAAAATACAGATTCAACGCAATTCCCGGCAAAATACTGGCAAAATTCTTTACAGACCTTGAAAGAACAATACTAAAATTTATGTGGAAAAACAAAAACTCAGGATAGCCAAAACAACAAAAGAACTTCTGAGGGCATCACCGTCCCTGACTTCAAGCTCTATTATTGAGCTTTGGTCTTGTAAAAAACTTGTTATTCGCACAAAAATAGACAGGTAGACCAATGGAATTGAATTGAAAACCCATATATAAACCCACACATCTACAAACACCTGATTTTTGACAAAGAAACTAAAATTATTCAATGGAAAAAAGAAAGCATCTTCATCAAATGGTGCTGGCATAACTGGATGCTGTCATGTAGAAGATCATAGGTAGATCCTTATCTATTACCATGCACAAACTAAAGTCCACATGGATCAAAGACCTCAATGTAAATCCAGTCACAATGAACCTCTTAGAAGATAAATTGGGAAGAAACCTTGAACACATTGTTACAGGAGACCACTTCCTGAACATAACACCAGTAGCACAGACACTGATATCAACAATTAATAAATTAGACCTCCCAAAACTGAGAAGCTTCTGTAAGGCAAAGGACACAGTCAACTAGACAAAATGACAACCCGCAGAATAAGAAACGATCTTCACCAACCCCGCATCTGACACAGGGCTGATTTCCAAAATATAACAAAGAACCCAAGAAGATAGTCACCAAACACAAAAAAATCCAATGAAAAAAATGGGGTTCAGAACTAAATAGATAATTCTCAATAGAGCAATATAAAATGGCTGAAAGACATTTAAGAAAGTGCTCAACATCCTTAGCCATTAGGGAAATGCAGATCAAAACAACTCTGAGATACCATCTTATACCAGCCAGAATGGCTACAATCAAAAACACCAGTGACACTATACTGGAGAGGATGTGGAGAAAGGGGAACACTCCTCCATTGCTGGTGGGAGTGAAAACTTATGTGGCCACTTTGGAAAACAGTATGGTGATTTCTCAGGAAAATAGCAACTAGTCCACCTCAAGATCCAGCAATTCCACACTTAGGCATATACCCAAAGGATGCACATTCACACAACAAAGAAGTGTGTTCAACTATGTTCATAGCCACTTTGTTTGTAATAGCTAGAACCTGGAAGCAACACCTTTATCGAATAATGGATGAAGAAAATGTGGTACATTTACAAAATGGAAAATTAGTGGAAAAAACAATAAAGTCTTGAAATTCACAGGCAAATGGATGGAAATAGAATAAACCATTCTGAGTGAGGTAACCCAGTCACAGAAAGGCAGGCATGGTGTGTACTCACCTACATATGAATATTAGCCGTAGAGCAAACCACACCACCAGAGAAACTAGAAAACGAAGAGGACCCTAAGGAAGAAACACATGGTCTCCGGAAAAAGGGGAAATGGACAAGAACTCTGAGCAAATTGGGAGCATGGGTGGGAGAAGGAGGAGGCAGGAAAAGGAGAAGTGGAGAACGTAAGGGGAGGAGAATAAGTGGGATCAGGAAAACTGAGTCAGGGGAGGAATAGAGGACAGAAAGAAAAGAGAAACCTTAATAGAAGAAGCCAATATAGGTTAAAAGAAAATCTGGCACTAGGGATATGTTCAGAGACCCACAAAGATGACATCAGCTAAGATTCTAGGCAGTAACGGAGAGGCTGCCTTTGATGCCCTTCCCTATCATGAGATTGATGACTACCTTGTATGCCATCCTAAAGCCTCCATCCAGTAGCTGATGGAAGCAGAAACAGACATCCACAACTAAGCACTCTGCCATATTTCCTGAATCCAGTTGTAGAGAGGGAGGAGTAATGAGCAAAGGAGTCAAGATTGTGCTGGAGAAACCTACAAAAACAGCTGACCTGACCTAGCAAGAACACAGGGACCCCTGTCACACAGCTGGGAAGCCAGCATTGGACCTGACGAAGCCCTCTAAATGTGGGTGCCAGTTAGAAGGCCTGGACAAACTACGGGAGCTCTTACAGTGGAAACAGTGTTTATCCCTAGTGCACAAAATGTTTTGGAAGCTCAGTCCGTATGGTGGGATAATATTTCAGCCCAGACACAAGTGGAAGGCCTAGGCCCTCCCCAAGTGATGTGGTAGGCATTGAAGATCCCCCCAAGGAGCTACGTTGTCCATGGCGAGTCTCAGGAGAAGATGTCCAGGCACCTAGCATAAGTGTGTCTCTCATGACAGAGCATTGGCTGCTTCCACATGGCAAAAAGCTTTGACTACTAGAAAGAACTGTTCCTGACCTAAGGAAGTCAAAATCCAAACTTAGAAAAATGTTTCTCATGGACACCTATAGTTGATTCTGGGACAGAGGTCAGGAGCCAGGGCACCCTAGTGCTCACATCTCTCTGAATATCCCATGTTTTCCTCAGCCAGACCCAATGTCGATTCCCTCAGGGTCTTTCTCAAGAATACATTCCTGGTGAGAATCTGAGAGTCTAGACAGAGGTGATCTCCTAGGCTGCTTTACCCACCATCGAGCACCTGGGTACAAGGTGAATTCAGATGAAGGATTCTGATGTACTATGGTTATTTTCCACAATGTGAGTCCTGCACACATTCTCAAACCCCAACGTGGGGGCACAATGCACAGGAGAGGTGTGCACGTACCAGGGCTGGCACTTCTGCGTATGTCTGGTGGAATGAACCCACCCAGCAAGGATAATTCACAAAGAAGTACTTACAGAGCACTTGAAGGTACGTGGATGCAGTTGATACATTTTCTGTTGGTGTTCTTAAGATTCCTAGAGTATAGACTCCTGTGTCATTCTGGGTGACATTTTGAATCCACAGGGATCCATTTTGGTACATTGTCTCTCTACCACTGTGTAAAGGCCCGAGTGCACGTACATTGCCATTCGGTGCATACAATGCGATTGCATTGTCTATTATTGCCTCGCCTTTGAACCAGGTTAGGGATAAAACATGGTCTGGCAGATCATGGACAAGGAAAAGGACATTTTCTCCTTTGACCACTTGGGACGGCACTGATTCAATGGTGACTTCGGCAGTGGTGGTTGGATGCCAGCATATTAAAAGGGACGCTAGAAGGGAAAAGAGGAAAAGTGTAAAAGTGTGATCACAACTCTGCTTAGGTGTTTGGTTAGTGCTGTGCCCATCCTCCTTGATAGAGATGAGCAACATGACCTCCATTGCTCAGAGTCTCTGACTGGGTCTTTGCCTCTTCATGGAACGATCTTCTCGCTTATGTGACTGCCCCCAGTGTCTCCATTTCCCTCCTCACATAGAGTGTTTGGTGTGAGGAATCCACTCAGACCTCCTCCTGTAGAGAGTCCTCACTTTAGACTTTTTTCTCTGTACCCTTTGAGTTATCAGTCAACACCTGACATCAGTTTCTGAATACACTGACGTCCAGGCTGATAGAACCAGGGTTTTGTCAGGATGGGTTTAGAGCGACCGTTTAGGAAGATTCAGTTCCTTAAAATTCTCAGAAATAAATGGAGAAGGAAAAATGGAATAAGCTGGGCAGTGGTAGCACAAGCCTCAAAGCCCAGTAATCCACAGACAGAGGCAGGTGTTTCTCTGAGTGTGACACCAGCCTGGTTACACTGTGAGTTCTAGGACAGCCAGGAATATGCAGAGAAACTCTGTCTTGGGGTCAGGGAGAAAACAAAATAGATGGAAAGAGGAAGGAAAGGAGAAGGAAGGAAGGAAGGAAAAATGATGGAAGGAAAGACAGAAAGAAAGAAAAGAAAGAAAGAAAGAAAGAAGAAAAAAAGGGAAAACAGAAGGAAGAAATGAGAGGGAGGGAGAAAGAGATGGAGGAGGGAATGAGGGATGGAAGGAGGGAGGGAGGAAAAAAGATGTGTCCTTGGGTTTATCTACATAGTTCCCATTGTAGCTGAGGACAACATCCATACTCAAGAGAGAGTCCCAGTTTTCACATTTACATATACAGTATGTATATATTTGTGAAGGCATCTGTTTCATTGGGCACAGGTGCAGGTCAGGGCCACAGCACCAGTGTGGAGGGAAAAGGAGGGGCTGAAAAAGTCTGCTCTCTCCATCTACCCTGTGAGACATGAGCACTGAATTCAGGTTGTCATGTCTCCACACTCTGAACAATCTCTGTAACCCACCCCTGTTGAGATCTGGAGTCACCCTGTCATGACTGGGGGCATCAGGCTTCAGAACATGGCAGCCAGTGTAACTCACCTTGAGTAGGAAATGTTGGGGCTTTTCCCTCCCCTCACCACCTCCTGTTGACTGAGAGCTTCAGGTTGCTGAGCCTCTGTCCCTCACTGTACCATCTGTGCCATAACAGCAAACAGAATCCTCAAGGCTCCTCTCAAGATCCTGTCCCCTTTTGGAGACTCCAGCTGGCTTCTGAGTTCCAGTCCACCACAAGCAGAGAGTGGGTACACTTACCTGTGAGCAGGAGCCCCTGCCAGAGGGTGCAGCCCATGCAGGGAATCACAGAGTACACCTTCATCTCTCCTGCCGCTGTGCCGTCCTCCCTGTGAGGAGAGCTTCAGCTCCAGCAAGGTCCTCAGGCTCTGCTGTCCTGCTACCTTTTGGGATGAAGAGTCTCCCAGTCTTCCCAGATTTCAATGGGCTGTGTGTTGTTGGGTCTGTGTCCAAGGCACTGCTCTGTCCCTTCTACTCTCAGTGCTGTCCTACACCCCTCTCCACTTCCCTTTATGTTTCTCCTCCAAGCAACACATTGAGATTCAAGGCTGATAAGCATCCCCATGCCCTCAGAGAACAATGGCTCATCCCAGGGCTGACACCTGCCCTGTCCTGTCCGTGGGTCTGTCAGCATCAACGAGGGAGCCTCCATCCTGCCAGTGTGTCCTTGTTACACAGGGATCCAGCTGAGCACCCAGTGTGCCCTGCATCCTCAGTGCTCTGGGAAAGTGGGATTTACTCCCAGCAGGAAGGGGATAGTGTCTGAGGACTACAAAGGGACCGGCTTAGTGATGACTAGGGATGAAAATATATCTTGCATATGATGCAGAGAGGTACAGACCACGAAGCACTCAGGACTATACTTAATGTATCCAAAAAGTCACTCCCCTCAAAGTTCAGGGAACCATGGAAAACAGAGACTGGGGGAACCTAAACCCAGAGGGCATGGAGGACACCCTCAAAACAGGTTCCCTAAATCACTGCACATAGAGAGTTCTGAGGCAGCTTACTGTGTGCTTTCATGGGTCTGGGAGGGTCTTAACGAATGTTCCTCTTATATAGTATGGCCTCTAGCTGAGTGTTTCTATACGATGTCTGAGTGTGCAAATGAGTAGGGTTCTGATTCATGTTCCTTATCCTTCAGTTTGTCTCATTTAATTTAAAATTGTTTTTTTGTTTAATCTTATTACATTCATTACATTTATCTTATTTTGTTATTAATCTTAAGAACACAGTTTTCGAATGAAAGATAGAAAAGAAGTTGTATACAAACTGGAAGAAGTAGAGGGAGGGAAAACAATGATCAAGGCATATGACAAAAACTATTTTCATTAAAATAAATTATAAAAACTTTTTTTATCTGATGAATGAAGAGACAAGAATTTGCACCTTTCCAACAGAGAGATGACAATGGAAAACTTCCCAAACACTCCAGAAGCTCTTTAGGAAACTGGAATGCTGTTTGGAAGAGAACTGTAGAGATAGGAATTTCTTTTTTAATTTTTTTATTTTAATTTTAAATAGCTTGTTTTACATGTCAATCCCAGTTCCCTCTCCCTCCCCTCCTCCAGCACCCTCCACCGCTCCCCAGCCTCCCACCCTATTGCCAATTCCTTCCACATAGGGGATATCTAGAGTCTGTCATTTCACTCAGGGTAGGGTCCAGGCACTTCTGTAAGAGTCCAGGCTGAGAGAGCATCCCTCTTTTTGCTATGGACACACGAAGACTGTTTGTATACCAGGGATAGACACTGATCCACTGCTCAGGGCCCCATAGGTTGCCCAGGCCTCCTCACTGACACTCACATTCGGGGATTCCGGATCAGTCCCATGCTGGCCTCCCAGTTGTCTGTCTGGGGTCCAAGAGCTCTCCCCTGTTCAGATCAGCTGTCTCTGCTGGTTTTGCCAGCCCATTCTTTGCCAATTTGGTCATCGCTCCTCTCTCTCTGTCACTGGGAAACTTTTTGAAAAACAGGAATATATCTTCCATCACTACTGTCAGCAGTCAAATTCCTTAGCCAGCAGAATGGCCCAGGAGCAGTTGTGTGAGGCGCTCCATGTCTACGGTGTTGGGAAAGGGGTGACCTGTGTGTCCTGGGAAGGACTGGGGGCTCCCTCTTTCTATGGAGAGCTTCAAGGCAAACTACAGCATTACATGTTGGGTGAGCCTAAGTCCTCCGTGATATTCCCGGATCACCATTGTTCTTTGCCCAGGTGATTTCTGGTGATAATTCTGTCTTGCCCAAGGATGGAGGACTTCAAGGCTCCCCGTGCATAAAGATTTCCTCAGACACATGAAGCATCTCAGAAATAATTTCTTGAGCCTGGGTAATCCGACATGCCCACTAGAGTCACTGGAAGAACAGCAATCTCATGCCTAGGACTTCAGCAGGCACGGTCAACAAGTCAAATGTACACTGCCTAATTCCCTCAGCACAGCTCCTAATGTGGCCCCTGTGATCCCTGCTCCCTGTGCTCTTCAGAACTCCTAATTCCACTTCACTGCAGGGTAGGTCTAGGCAAGGTTTCAGATTTTTCCTGGGAAGCCCTTGACTAAAGTTGAAATAGTGTATCCTGAGGTTAGGAATTCTCAGCAGAAAATTTCAGAGAAAAGTCCTTGGGAGTTTCCCGGAGACCAATGTATGGTGGCACCCGCACTTTCTGTTCTGTCAGTGGTGTCTACATCCTTGCTGCTCTTTGCCCACAAGGTGATGAAGGGTTTTCTCTTGAGTCAAAGGACATATACTCAGATGACTGTGTCTTGCCCTTTCCCATACACCATGCCATTTTTTCTGTGTGTGATAAAAACAAGCAGCAGTTTAGGAGAAAGTAAATGGTCCATTTCCTTCTGGTCTGGGTCATAGTGTAGCACTGAGAGCAAGTCAAGGCAGAAAACATGCTGCTTGATGCTCAGTCTCTAGATCATACTTAACAAGCTGTCTTACAAAACCAAAGGCCATCTACCTATGAATACTATTGTCCAAAATGGCCTGGGCCTTTCTGAATCAGTTCAGACAACCCATCCCACACATGGCCACAGCCAGATGTGATAACGACAGTTAATCAGTTCAGACTCTCCCCATCCTCCATCCCCTGCCCACAGGTGATGTTGCACTGTGTGAAATTGACAAATGCTACTAACTAGGACACTGTTTCAAACTAAGTCCTCCTTCTCCGGAGAAATTCAAAAGGGAAGTTGCCCATTCTCCAAGTGAGCATCACTCTTTGTTTGCGTGGTCATCATATGTGCTGCTGTCCACCACCAGCCACTTCTGAACCCTCAGATCCAGGACAGAGCTCAGGAAATCTAACCTGGGGTTTCACTTTTCTGACTCCCCAGATCGTGAGCCCAATCATACTGTGTTGGCTAGCACAGACATTGTGAAGAGTTACTGAAACAAAATCATCAAAACGGTAGCTCAATCCCTAAACGACGCATTGCCTCCCATACATGTTCATCACCTGGCTCTTCTGGTTCCATTGAAACCTCAGGGTGCTTAGCTGTGTCCCTGGTGTCACAGAGAAACATAGGCAGCATGGAGGCTCCATCCTGGATGCTGACAGACCCAAGGCCAGGCCACAACTTTAGGTGTCAGTGCTGGAATGAGCTATTGTTCTCTGAGGGCATGGGGATGCCTGTCAGTCTTGGTGATAATGTGTTGCTTCAAGGCGAAAGACAAAGAGAATAGTTGAGAGAGATGTGGGACACCACTGGGAGCTGTAGAGACAGAGACTCGCAAACCAGTAGGAAGAGAGAAGAACAGGGTCTGGGGGCTGTGTCAGAGATGAAGTTCTCTCAAAGGGAGGGACCGGCACAGTTTGAAGAATGTGGCTGTCATTGCTGCTTCTCTGCAGGGAGCACTCCTGGCACGGGCTCCTGTTCAGCAGGTAACTGTACCCACTCTCTGACTGTTTGCTGGGAGGAACTCAGAGGTGGGCTGGAGTCTTGAAAGATGGAGAGATACTCAAGGTGGCTCAAGCTTACTGTTTGCAGTCATGAGGCAGAAGGTACAGTGAGGGACAGAGGCTCAGCATCCTGAAACTCTAATTTGGACAGGAGGTGATGAGAAGAGAAAAGCCTCAATCAATTACCACTCAAAATCAATCACATTGTGACTGCCATGTTCCAAACCTTGATGTACCCAGCCAAAGCAGGGTGACTCCAAATATAAATCAGCAGGGATGGCCAGTGAGATGGCTCAGTGTGTGGAGACATGAAAAGCTGAAATCAGTCCTCAGCTCCCACATGGCAGATAGAGGGAACAGACTCCTGCAGACTCTTCTCTGCCCTCTACACGGGTGCTCTGACAGCTGGTCCTACACGTCGCACACTGACAGCTACGCGCTCTTTTACAAACACACACATATGCACAACATAAAGGATATCTAAAAAATTTTGAATCAAACTATGATTATAATGATTGCCATCTCACTCCAAACCATCACCTCATGTAGATAATCACAGCTGCATGGAGATGCCCATTTCTTCCATCGTTCAGTTCATCTCTGGGAATATCTCTGCTCTCCTTTTCCAGTGTAAAGGTGTGTGAATCATTTCCAGGAACTGGAATCTTCCTAAGAGGTCACACTCATTAATCCATATCTCTCAAGGCAAAACTGGTCTCTATCAGCCCGTGAGTCAGTGCGTACCAGGAAGCTAGATGCCAGTGGCTGACTGACAAGACATAGGGATCAAAGGGCGAAAAGTCATAAAGGAAGGACCCCTCCTAAAGGAAGATAGCCATTGCAAAGTGGCTTCCCTCACACCAGAGTACTCTTTTTAAAATTTTTATGTGAAAAATGAAAAAAAAATAATCTTAATTTACATACAGACTCAGTTCCTTCCCCATAGAACTCCATGCTGCCCCACCAAGCCACCATTATCACCCTCCTGTGTAATCCCTACGGTAGTGTGAGGCCTCCCATGACGGATCATCAAAGTCAGTCATGACTCACTTGGGGCAGAAGCTAAGTTCTCTGCCGTGTATCCGTGTTGAGAGTATCACGCCATATGGACATGGTCCCCCAGAGAGACAGAGGCAAGTGGCACAACTCCAAATACTCTAAAAGTGGGAGAATGGAATATGGGCACACCTAACGGGGGCAGATAGGCAGAATGCCGGGTTATTCCTATAGAGAGAAAAAAAAAGACAATCCATCAGAAGCTAAGAGGTAGTAAATGGGGACCTGGTTGCCCACCTCCCATCGCTGGAGGGTGGACCCCAAGCTCGCCTATTGTCAGGACATGTAAGCTGAGTCAAAGTTCCCATCCAGTGAATACTTGATTTTTTCGTCGGTCTCTTT